CGGGATCCTAGCGGTGGAGTTGGAGCCCTCAGACTATCTACCGTTTCACGTCATTTGCGTTCCACACCACCTCCTGAACTAAGTAGTGCGCTAATTATTCGAGCTTGCTCTCTTCAACAACTGATGGAGAACGGGTTGGCGCCGCACCGAACCCAACACCCCCCCCCCTTCCTCTTCACTCCCCCTGACACGCCCCAGCATCCGTTGCGAGCAAGACGTAATCGTGTAATGTGCCTCACTGTACTTGCTCGAATAACTGTGGGCCACAACCGATACTTAGGCCCATTACCTTACTCTCCCAGGCAATCCCAACAAATATTCAAATCTCGAAGAGCCCACTTCGGACGAATACAACACTCTTCGTCTGATCGCAGGATCTACTACGCTTTATACCCAGATCGGAAAAACAAATACGCATGTCGGGGTGAATCGCCTTTAGATACTGGAATCTAGGGGTTTCCCTCAACAGGTGCAACGGCCGAGAACTTCAGCAGCAATGCGGATTACAAAATTGTGGATTCCAAAGGACAAATGATGGCAAAAGAATTCAAGCTAAAGATGAAACCAGTACCTCTTTAACGAAATCTGCGCCTCTATTGGCATACTCTTCAGCCACTGTGTTCCCACAAGCGACACATTTCTCAAAACGCCGCACACAGGGAGTCATCTGAATGGACAAAATTAGGAAGGTCGAAGAGATTATAATGGAATCTATTGTATTAATGCCTACGGAAAACGAAATCTACCAAGAATTCTCTGAGAAACCTGCCTGGCTGAAACGGGACAAATATCCGCGGACTTGATGCGGGGTTGCGCCCAGCAAGGAAGTTGAATCGTCTGGTTCACCAATATTTGCTGGGGCACGCAATGGATTGGAGTACTGCAGTACGGAGGACAGAAGCTCAACGGCAACACCCGACGCTATCATGGACAGTCCTGCGCGGCTCACCTGAAATTATGAAACATGAAGAAAACGTAGACTGGCTTGAAGAGGCACACCGGGGCAGTGGATTTTTTCCCACCCTATAGAAAAGAAGTGTTTCCAGTAAACGTTCCGGCAAAATTTGGGGCTGCAGAACGACCTTACAGCATTGAAACCACAAAGCCCAAATATGCGCAAAGGAATCGGTTCGTTCACGGTCCATGTTCTTGAGCATGTGAGCTAAGATTTTCCGTGCAAGGCGCTGTCCTCGAGCTAGGGCAGCGGGCATCCATGTATTTTGCTAGTTCCCTCTGCTAAAACTCGTTTCAGACTAGCCAGTTCTTTTGAGTTAAAAACCCTGGGGTAAAACTTCGTGCGAAGCGCAGCCGAAATAGCAGATGAGCCACTTTTGTTATAAGGAATCACACGAGTCCAAAAGTGGACCTGTGAAGACCCTGAGTACCCATGGCCCCCAAACCCTCTCCCCTCGCCCACCCCCAGCAACTTTGGTCCCGTCTCTCTGCACTCCTACTACTTCATAATTGCTTCCTGGGACGTTTCGCTCAGAAATGTGTATCCCGCTCGGATCATGGCTTGCAAGTATGATGAAAAAGATTGAACTCCCAGAAATCAAACGCACTGAAACGTGCGATGGGGACCTTTTCCGAAGCAATTCACCGCCAGAGAGGTACTCCCCGCTTCCGCCGACAAAAAAAGGACCGCGAATAATCGGCCATTCCTTTTTTGCTCTCGATTTTTTTCGGGAAAGCTAGAGGCTCTATACCACTCGTAGAAAATTCCACGAAATGCCTGCGCCATATGTCGTACTATTCATTTTCTGCTGTTCAGGCTCATGCACCTAGAAAGAATCAAGCAGACTCACTGTGCTCACTGTTTATGTCAAGCGTTCCGATTCAGCTGCGACGAATTACCAGCACGGTCTAGTTAAACATCAGCGGCAGGAAATAGTACGCTCAATCGAGTACTGGTCTTATGCACCAGCTATCCCACTTGATTGAACAGAGTTGTAGATTCGTTAGATCTTGGAAAATGTTCGATTTAACACGCGAAAATGAACAATGAAAGATCGCGGGCAGTTGCTGTGTGCAGAGCCGATAATTTCCAGGTCATCCACCTTCTAGAGTAAAAGATTTTGTCAAGTACAATTGGCGCCGACTAGGCCCGACTCTGCACCTGTCAAAGCTTAGACCCCACGCCCCCTTGCCCCATAAGTCAACAGACATCGAGCTTGCCGACTAGGAGAGCACCAGAGCATGCGACCGCCTAGATACGTTGAGCTCTTCTTAGGGCATACGCTTCACTGCCCGGCATGTTGGCGACGTTGTCCTCACAAAAGCACGGTTTTGCGTGCAGCACAAGCCTGTTTTTTCTTTTTCGGACAAACAGCAGGGCTGCTATCATATCGTGCCTACAATCAGTCGTAGCACCAGCCATTGCTCGCCAAGTACACTCTTCAAGCACACTCAGTTGATGGGATGGCAGGCGGCGGCTTCAAACCCAGACTTCACTACGACGCTGCGCGCTGACCTTTATTCCCCCAACTCTGGACCTCATTTCCTGTATACACTTAGCTTCCACTAATGGGAAAGCCCATGCGCCGTTTTGTGATTGTTCGTTTGACATCCACGAACTGTCTTCCACCTTTGCAAAGGGTTTGATTCCGGAAATGTTCAGTATGACGTACCTCCTGAAGAAGAAGACTGCTCCTCTGCACTATCGCCATTTTTCACGCCGTGCCGAATTACAACATAGTTGTCGAATCCGAGGGCAACGCTGAACGCCATCTGAAGCGCAGCTCGTCAGCCATACCAGTCTTCATCCAAAAAATCGAGAAGGAAAATCAGTTCAGAACACTGACCTTGCCATGCTTAGTAGCCAATACAGTAGGCAACCATCGGGCTTCTCGACTATCCAGAGCAAGAAAGACGACGTCGTGGGTGGACACCAATTGTTCAATGGTCTCCACATCTTTTGCCAGAGCAGCTTCTTCTGTAGGCTTTATTTTGAGAAGGAGCGTCTGGAACCAGCCAAACTCACTGAATTGTGAACTAACCGCTAGGAGCAACCGTGTGACCAGGCATTGGCACTGTTAGCAGAACCGCTTCAGCTTCTATACTCGGATATATTCGTCGCAGTGCACTTGCCGCCGTTTCAGCCTTGCCACGACCTTCCCGGGCATCCGTAAATTCCGACAGCGACTGTCTGTAATGGTTCACTTATAGTCAGTAGTACTTTCACACTCCTAACTGATATTTCCCCGTTCCCAGTCCCAGGTGTTTCTCACATTGGCCCACCAGATGTGACTCATTTCGTGAGGAAATGATAAAAAGCTTTTAATTGACTCCACCAGTAATTTGTCAAAACTTTTACCTGACGACGAAAAACATCCACAGCACTGACCTTATTGGATTACTGTAGCTTACAAACGAGTTGTCGACAAACGTGATCTTCTTTACGCCCCATCCCATCAGACATCGCGCTATATTACTTCCAAGTGTACCAGCTCCAAAAATAAGCACCTGAAATGTAGTTATTAAATTACAAAATTAGAAAACCGCTCTTCAGAGCGTTTTACGTAATGGAACTATAAATGAGCGGAGATTTTATAGTAAGTAGTACTCCTACATTCCAGGTCCGCTTAGAACCGTAAGGGGTAGGTGGATATCTAGCCTGAGCTGTGCTTCGCGAGATCATGTTCATTTTCTCGTACTCATCTCTCCTAACAAATCTGACGTCAATAATATGATGTAAAGATCCTACAAGTGGCCACGGGTTCTGGCGTTTCGAATGAATCCTGTTACGGAGCTATTAGACGCAACGCATTTGAAGCCGCTTCCCCCTCTCCGTAAGGTCGCGTTCATACTTTGCGACTCATGAGAATAGGAAAATCAGCGTTTCAACGATTTGGGAGAATGCGCGCCAAAAGTAATGCAAGAACCGATTAACTCAAATCGCTAGCATGCATCCTTCCGGTACGTCCATTCTTCTAGTCGCCTCGGCCGCAAAGTTGAACGCGATCTCATGTTAAACATGCTACACCGCTGATTTCGGAGCTAATGCTAGAAGTTTCCACTCTCTCATATCAAGGAACTCTCTAACCTAGACCTTGAAAAAAAACGACTGCAATTCCTGTGCAGGGGGGGGCCTAATCCAGAAATTGTAGGTACTTATCGAGGAAGCATGGGGCACAAGAAACCGTCGAGAGAGCGCTCCTCCCCCAGTAAGACCCCACTGCGTTCAAGCATTGAACGAGTGTGCAGTGAAAAGAGACGCACAGAAGCATTTTGATTTTGATAGACAGGCAAGAGCGGGTGAGAGCCATACGGCCGCACCCACAAGAAGGGTACGTCGATCACAATGCCACACAGCATGTTCACATGGACATGATGGCATGGAAACTTGGTGAGAGTGGGTTTCATCGCCATCACAGCCTGTTGAGCCACTGCCCCGCACTTTCGACGCGTTTTAGTGGCACATCGTGAGCGGCTGAGCCCTCATACGTAGGAAAGAATTATCATAGTTCTTAGGTAACCATGAAGTGTGCCTTTGAGTCCATCATTATTACATCCCCATTTTCTTTCATTGCCGCGCTTCCAGGCCTACATTTTCCCACTGGTGGTTATTGATAATTACCGGTACGGGCAGATCCTAGAAGGCGACTAACATGAGTAAATACGAGAGCCCTCACAGATCTCACAAAAGTTTAATCCTAAGATATTATGTGGAAACTGCTTCTTCATCACTGTAGGTTGCGAAGCTATTAGCGTTTACAAAGCCTGAAAATTGAGAGTATGAAGAATCAGTCTCAAAGCTGTTATTTATAACCAAACCCTGGTCCACTAATTCACACTCCTCAAAAGAAGATGAGACAATAAACAAGACAAGCGCCGTTGTCCCTAAGGACCCATTCTAGGGGCATGAGGTTTGTGCCGTCAGACAACAACGTCATTCAAGTAATAAACAGGCTACCGCTTCCACCATACTTTTGCCAAGGAGCCAGATTTTAACACTCACAATACAATGCGAAGGCGTTTTCAAAGTGCCAGAGGCAATTCAGCCACTCACGATTCATTACAGCCGCATTGTCCGGCAATTAATAGCAACTGGCAGTTCAACTGTGAACGCGGTTAGGCTTAGTGGGGCGCTCAATGGCACTCAGCTGAGCGTTTACAGGCCACCCCGCAACTACCTCTTAAGTCCTGTAACCAAACTGTTTTCCTGTGACAACTCGTACTGTTTTGCAGCTTCACATAGTTTGCAGGTCTCACCAAGTGAAACCTGTTATTTCA